CTTCAGCCTGGTCCAGTTCTGGCTATTGCGAGCATTTGCAGTGTGCACCAGTAGATGGAAGATATTTTCTTTCTCTCTGACTTTCTTTTCTTTTTTTTTAAAGATTTATTTTATTTATTTGAAAGGCAGAGTTACAGAGAGGCAGAGAGATAGAGAGAAGGAGAGATGGAGAGAAAGAGAGAGACAGAGAGAGAGAGAGAGGTCTGCCATCTGCTGGTTCATTCCCCAGACGGCCTCAACAGCCATAGTTGTTCCAATCTGAAGCCAGGAGCTAGGAGCTTCTTCCAGGTCTCCCACAAGGACCCAAGGACTTGGGCCATCTTCTACTGCTTTCCCAGGCCATAGCAGAGAGCTGGATTGGAAGTGGAGCAGCTGGGACTAGAACCGGCACCCATATGGAATGCCGGCACTGCAGGCGGTGGCTTTACCTGCTACACCACAGCGCCAGCCCCTCCTGACTTTCAAATTAAAGTTTTTCTTTTGTGATCTTTTCTTTGACTCATTGGTTATTTAGGAATGTGTTCCTTATTTCCCACCTATTTGTGAATCCCTCAAACTGCCTTCTGTTGTTTCCAATTTCATTGCATTTTGTTGAGAAAACATAGTTTGTATGACTTCAGTTCTTTTACATTTATTGACTTGTTTTATTCACTAACATATGGTCCATTCTGGAGAAAGTTCCAGGTGTGTTTGAGAAGAAAATTATGTACGAGAATGCTTCAAAAGGCTCACAGGAAAACTGAATTAAATGATAGTTCATTTTAATGTGAAAAATTAAAATCTATGCATATATTTATTCACAATGTGAATGTCCCTGTAGTTTTTGAAGTTCTCTCCTATTCTGCTGTTCTTGGGTACTCTGTGAGGTCTGGTTGTTTTAATTCTTCTCTTTCCTTCTGTATAGGTGTTCTATACATTGAAAGGGGGTACTGAAGTTTCCAACGTTTGTTGTTAATCCATTAACTTCTTCATTCACTTTGATCGATTTTTGCTTTGTGTATTTTGGAGGCTCTGTTGTTAGATGCATATGTCATGTTAAATTCACATGTATTTATAGTCATTCCATATTTTTGGCAAATTGGCCTTTACATCATTCTAAAATGGCCTCTTTATCTCTAATAACTGTTTGGTTTTCCAGTGCATTTTGTTGGAGAATGTGCAGTCATTACAGGTCCCTTTTGGTTGTCACATGTTGTATATTCTCCCACGTGTTTCCTTAAAAGCTATTTGTGTCTGAATATAAAGTGTGTCTTTTTCAGATAGCACAGAGTGGGATCATATTTGTAAATCATTGTGTCTTTTCTTTCAGTTAAACATTGTGTACATTTACATTTAATGCAATTAATGATGTTAGAATTTATGTTACCATTTTATCGTTGTCCATGTGCATTATGCCTTTTTAAAAAAGATTTATTTATTTGAAAGACAGAGTTACAGAGAGAGGTAAAGATAGAGAGAGAGAGGTCTTCCATGCGTTGGTTCACTCCCCAGATGGCCACAACGGCCGGAGCTGCGCAGACCGGAAGCCAGGAACCAGGAGCCTCTTCCTGGTCTCCCACGTGGGTGCAGGGGCCCAAGGACTTGGACCATCTTCCACTGCTCTCCCAGGCCACAGCAGAGAGCTGAATGGGAAGAGGAGCAGCCGGGACTAGAATGGAGCCCAGCATTATGCCTTTTTATTCCTTTGTTATACCAGTACCACTGTTGTTTGTATTACATTTCTGTTGAGTCATTTACATTCCCATGTCTTTTCTTAAAAAACCTGTATTGTCTTAAGCTGTTATCTTGTGTTTGCCTTGGAGACCATAACCAGAGTCGTGAATGACAGTAATGTTCTCTGGATTGATACGCCAGTCCTCCTGCTGTGCACCTCACTCCCCTCCTTTGCTGTTGTCATGCAGATCACACCTTTGTGACTTGCATTTCCATCAGTGCAGAGCTATCTGTATTGTTTTATGAAGACTTTAAATTAAATAGACCAGGAATTACAAACCAAGGCACTCATACTCCCTTTTGTAGTCACCCAGGAGTGACATTATTTATGAACGACACGCCTGTACTCTTTATGTTTTCATCTGGATTTGATTGCCGTCTAGTGTCCTTTCAGTGTAGCCCGAAGGAATCCCTAGACTGTGTTTTGTAAAGCAGGCAGGCGTGGATTCTCTTGGCTTTGTTTAGCCTTACTTTTGCCTTCACTTTTAAGCTGTGTTTTGCCGGATGGGAATTCTTGTCTGCCTGTCTCTTCCGTTGCCTCACGACCCGCGTATTTTCTGGCAGGCAGTCGCTGTTAATGCTCTGTGGACTCTGATGTGACGAGTTGCTTGCTTCTTGCAGCTTTGAAGATCTGTCTCTGTCGTGTGCTGCCGTGTGTCTCGGCGTGGCTTTCCCCGTGTTTACTCTGCGAGGAGTTCATTGAGCCTTGGACGCACAGATCGCTGCTTCCCAGTGCTGTGACTGTTCGGGTCGGGGTTCTTGGAAGGCTGCTCCCCTTCCTCCTCGCTCCTGGGCCGCTGTCCTGTGTGTCCACGTGCTGATGGTGTCCCAGAGGCCTCGTTGGCCCTGCGCATTTTCCTTCCTTCTTTTTCTCTCTGTGCCTTGCAGGGGATACCTCATTGACCTATTTCCCGAAGTCCTGATTTTCCTTTTCTTCTGCCTGCCCAAGCCTGCTGTTGAGCTCCTACGATGACTTTTCATTTCAGTTTTCGTAGTTTTTATCCCAGGATGATCATTTGCTCATATTTAAAAGATAACTTCAGTCTCTTTACTGACATTCTGTATTTGGTGATCCAGAATTCTCAGTTTCCGGTTCCACTTCTTGGTAGACTGAAGACTGCAGATTTGCACAGCGGTTAAGATGCCACTGGGACACCAGCCCCTCATGTTGGAGCTTCAGCTCTGCTTGTGGTCCCAGCTTCCCGCACGTGGGCACCCTGGGAGGCAGCAGGTGACAGCTCAAGTGCCTGGGTCCATGCCACCCATATAGGAGACCTGGGTTCAGTCCCTGGCTCCTGGCTGCAGCCTGACCCAGCCAGGCAGTGGACCAGCACATGCGAGATCTCGGTTTATTTCTCTGACTCTGTCTCCCTGACTTTCAAATACTTTTTTTAAAAGATTTATTTTATTCTTTTATTTGAAGGTCAGAGTTACACAGAGAGGAGAGGCAGCGAGAGAGAGAGAGAGAGAGAGAGAGAGAGAGGTCTTCCATCTGCTGGTTCACTCCCCAGTTGGCCGCAATGGCCAGAGCTGAGCCGATTGGAAGAAGCCAGGAGCCAGGAGCTTCTTACAGGTCTTCCACATGGATGCAGGGGCCCAAGGACCCAGACCATCCTCTTCTGCTTTTCCAGGCCACAGCAGGGAGCTGGATCAGAAGTGGAGCAGCAGGGACTCAAACTGGTGCCCATATGGGATGCCGGCACTGCTAGTTTTGCTGTTATTGCTGACTTGTTTTTCAAGGCTACCAAGGAGCTAGGGAGGAGGAGGTGGGACCAGAGCAAGTTGAACGCCACAAAGCTTCTGTTCTACTTGACAAAAGGGTCCCTGGACTATTGCATGCCTTGGTTAATTTCCAGAGGTGAAGAAAAGCTGATTATGACCATTTTTGCCAGTGCTTTTTTTTTTTTTTTTGCGATTATGGAGAAGAGGATTTTTGGAGGTCATTGCTATGCTATTCACAGTGAGGTCTGTGCTGCTGTTAAGCAAAAACCCGAAAACAACCTGACAACTTGATGGTTCATCAACAAGGCAGTTTAGGATGGCACGGGGCATCCGTATCATGCACGACTGTGACACTACCGAAAGGAAGACATTTCAGTCATGTCTCGTGGCCTGGAGGGCGGCTGTGTTGTTCTAGGAAGGAGAGGATGTGTGTGTGCCTGTGTGTGGGTAGGTATGTATCTTCCATTTGTCCACAGACAGCACAACCAAAGCCCCTCTGTGTCTGCCTTCCTCTGTGCATGGGCACATGTGTAGGGGTCGCACCGGTGAGCCAGGGACAATGGAGTGACGTTTGAGGGCCACATAGCCATCTGGAGAGACAGTGACGACAGCACCTCAGCTTCTTTTTTATTTGCATTATTTCAGAGTGTATGGCAAGCATATGTTGCATTGTCATTTCTGAAGATGGTATTGCCCTCAGAAATACTTATGGAGACAAAACCATTCCTTCGTCTTCAATCCTGAAGAATTTCACCTTAGGGTTTTCTGTTTCCTTCACTTTCGATAGTCATATCAATATTTTCATGGTCGCAGCATCCGTGTGTATTCTTATTTTTCATGTGCACCAGAAGACTTCATCATTTCAGAAATCAAATTTCACACTCACTCCGCACGATTGCTAGGGTGATTGTTTTAGACTCTAGGGAGATGGGTGTTCAGTGGATGCAGGAGGCACAGCTGTGCATAGGACAGCAGGAAGAGGACCGAGCGACTGGCAGGGCCCTGCAGGCCTCTCCTCCTGCCATCTCGAGCCATCCTCAGCATGTGACACGAGGAAGGGCGCGCTCTCCCTGCCGGCCTGGCTCTGGTACCCAGCACTCCAGAGACCACTCTGGAATCTGTAGCCACCCAAGACTTTTGGAGATGCTCTTGGCTTTTGAGAGGAGATTACAGGAGATGTTCAAAGCCCTCGGTTGTTCAAGTCCAGCTTCCCCTTGCTGGGGCCCTGGCTGGGCTGGAGGACTTGCCCCGGGGAGTGTGTGAGGGAGTGGTTCTGGGAGCCCCCACAGCCTCGGCACAGGTGCTGGGTTCCTTCTGTGCCAGCCCCTCCCACACTCTGCTCTCCCAAGATTCCCTAGACAGCGACTAACAGTGATGGTAACTCCCGGCCACATAGCCATCTGCGAGGGGCAGGATGCCCTGTGGTTCTCCTGGCTGTGGGCGGGGCTCAGCGCTTGTGTCTGGGGGCATGGTTGTGCTACTCCTGCTTCGTGTTGCTTGTCCTGCCACTTTTCCGTGTCTTTTTGTCTCTCCACACTCAGCTGGCCCATTCCTTTTTGTTACAGCACAAAGGGTGCTGAAGTTGGTGCATGAATATCGAGGTTTCAGCTGGTGACAGACTGCATGGGTGGCAGCGATGGGCCCCTGGGAACCGTAGCAGCTGGGAGGTGCCTATCACCGACATCACGGCTGTCCTGGTTCCACAGTGCAGTTATGTGCCACAGTGCAGGTGTGTCAGTTACAACAGACCTACCGTGCAGCCAGTCGTATAAAATGCTGTGCACACCATCTTTCTTGTTGCTATTTAAAGATTTATTTACTTACTTGAGGTAGAGTTACAGACAGATAGAGGGAGAGACAGAGAGGGAGGTCCTCCATCCGCTGGTTCACTCCCCAATAGGCTGCAATGGCCAGAGCTGCGCCAATCCAAAGCCAGGAGCCAGGAGCTTCTTCTGGGTTTCCTATGTTGGTGCAGGGGCCCGAGAACTTGGGCCATCTTCTGCTGCTTTCCCAGGGCATCAGCAGGGAGCTGGATTGGAAGTGGAGCAGCAGGGACTTGAACCAGGGCCCATATGGGATGCCGGCACTGCAGGCGGATGTCTACCTCCTACTCCCCAGCGCCGGCCCCGCACACCGTCTCGATCAGGATGAACAACTGTGTCCCCGGCTTACAGCTTTGCTGCACTCCACTTCCTATCTCTGTTTTAGAGGGTACTCCACTACTTGCAAAACCCAAACCGTGAAGCGGTGCTGTGGGACGCCGGCGGCTGCCTGGTCCACCTCGTGGTCACCACATCGCTTATCTGCCCCGGGAGGACATGCCGAGGGCTGGACCTGCACCATCCAGGTGGGTCTGAGTGCAAAGTCCCCTAACAATGAAGGTACCAGAAGGTGTGTCCTGACTGTGCCTGTGGGAGAGTGAAGACCTCGTTATGTTCCCTGGGGCGTCTCCCACAGGGCTGTGATGGTGTGAGAGGGTGAGGAGGGAGCGGTGGGGGCTAAACCACTGCCAGTCCGTTTATTTGTGTATCTTTTCTATCTTGACTGACAGCCAAAGACTACCTGTGGAGAGTGTGTTCAGCTCAATGGTTAAGACGCCGGTTAACAGCGGCATCCCGTGTTGGAGTGCAGGGTTCAATCCCCAGCTCCGCTTCTGGATTCCGTCTTCCTACTGATGAACACGCTGGGAGGCAGCAGTGGGTGGCTCACGTGGCTGGGCCCCTCCTTCGCCGTGGGAGACCGAGCTGCCAGCTCCTGGTTCCACCCTGGCCATTGTATGTGCTGAGTGAACCAGTGGATGGGAACGCTCTCTGTGTCCTGAGTAAACACATAGTTTAAAACCTGTGTATTTGAGCTGTACTCCTCAGTGCTTTGATGTAAGTATACATTGCGAAATATCACAACCAAACCAGCATCACCCTCACTTCCCATAGTTACCTTTTGGTATGTGGTAAGAATACTTAAGACCTACCCCCTTAGCAAAATTTTAAAAAAGATTTTATTTATTTATTTGAGAAGTAGAATTACAGATAGAGAGAGGGAGAGGGAGAGAGAAAGGTCTTCCATCCGCTGGTTCACTCCCAGATGGCCACTATGGCCGGATCTGAGCAAATCTGGAGCCTGGAATTAGGAGCTTCCTCTGGGTCTCCCACGTGGGTTCAGGGGTCCAAGGACTTGCGCCATCTTCCGCTGCTTTCTCAGGCACCTTAGCAGGGAGCTGGATTGAAAGTGGAGCAGCCGGACTCCAGCAGGCACCCATCTGGGATGCCGGTGCTGCAGGCAGCAGCTTAATCCATTACGCCACAGCTGACCCCACCTCTGTATCTCTTGGTCAAGCATTTCCCGCTCCCCAGGACCCTGGGATCCACCATTCTACTCTCCACTTCTGCAAGTCGCACATTTTTACAATTTGCAAACTATCATTTATAGGTAGAATCTAAAAAAAAAAAAAATCCAACAAATAGATCACGCTCCATTTAGGGGAAGGTAAATTTTTATCTTGTGATCATAGCTATGAAAAGTATCACTAGTGTGTACACACATTTTTCAGAAGACTTATTCATTTATGTGAAAGGCAGACTTACAGAGAGCGAGAGTGAGCGTGAGCGAGAATGAGAGAGAGCGAGAGAGAGAGGTCTTCCTTCTGTTGGTTCATTCCCCAGATACCTGAATATCCAGGGCTGGGCCAGCTTGAAGCCAGGACCTTGAAACTCCATCTGGATTTTCCATGTGGGTGCAGGGGCCCAAGCACTTGGACCATCTTCTGCTGCTCTCCTAGGGTTATTAGCAGAGAGCTGGATTGGAAGTGGAGCAGCCCGGACTTGAACCTGTGTCCATATGGAATGCCAGCATTGCTGGTAGTGGCTGAAGCCCCCGTATCACAGTGCCAGCCCCTGTAAACCACATTTGAACCCTACTCTGCACTGCTCTGAAAGAACACCTGGACTGCAGCACCTGTGTGTGCACCGCACATGGAGGTGCACACCTGCGCAGTGGGCCCCGGCCTCAGTCACCTCTCCTGGCTGCTGACTGACCACTGGAAGAATCGGCACAACCAGGCGAGAACCCCCGTGACGCTTGCCCTCCCGGAGCCCTAGCACAGTGAGAACGGCAGCTCAGCTCCACACCCCCTCGGGGCAGGGCGGCCGTGGCCACCGTGGGCACCCAGCGACAAGACAACCACGAGGTCATAGCTCTTCTGCAACCCCGCGCGTTGTAAACGTCCCCCGTGAACACTCACGCGTCTGTAACAAAGTACGGAAGCCATGAATGTTCGCTCAGTTCCTCTTAGAAGTCACCTAGGGGGAAAATACCCAGCTCGTTGCCCTGTCACGTGAATGACTCTGTCTTATTTGCTTCTGGATAAAATCTCATTTTATTGTAGGTGCTCGTGTAGCCACGGAAGGACTCGGTGAGACACAGGAGTTGTAACTGTGGAGCAGTGAGGACCCAGAAGAAGGAGAACAAATCCAGCGCATGAAACTCCACCCCTCGTAAGATTCAAATTCAGCCAACTTGGACAGACACGTGGTCAGAGACACCTGTCCAACAATTGTGATGATGACAATTTGAAAAGATGTATTGATGTATTTGAAAGGCAACGTTAAAGAGGGAGAGAGAGAGGGAGAGGGAGGGAGAGGGGGAGAGAGAGAGAGAGGGAGAGAGAGAGCGAGAGGGAGGGAGAGAGGGAGAGAGAGAGAGAGAGGGAGAGGTAGGGAGAGAGGGGGAGGGAGAGAGAGAAAGGGAGAGGGAGGGGGAGAGAGAGAGAGGGAAGGAGGGGGGGAGAGGGAGAGAAGGAGAGAGAGAGAGAGAGCACAGAGATCTCCCATCTGCTGGGTCACTCCCCAGATGGTGGCAATGGCCAGGGCTGAGTTAGGCTGAAGCCAGGAGCCGGGAGCTTCACCTGGGTCTCCCATGTGGTCGGTAGGGGCCCAAACACGTGGTCCATCTTCTGCTGCTTTTCTTAGGTCATTAGCAGAGAGCTGGATCAGAAGTGGCACAGCTGGGACAGGAGCCGTGTTGCGGGCAGTAGCTTTACCCTCTACTCCACAGCACTGGCCCCGGGCTCTGTCTCTTACAGGCCGAGAGAGGCAAGAGATGGCAGCCTTCACCTTCCAGAAGAGGCTCCCACTTTGGACCCTTTCTCTGGAAAGGTAGTGGCGAGTCTGTCCTTCCACTCAGCATGCGAAGTCAACACCATTTGTTGAAATACTTGGCAACTCACTCAAGGGCTGCCTTGGCTTTATGTGGGTGATGAGTAATTTCTCACCTACTGGGACAACTGGTTAAGAGCACACCTTGGTAACACACGGTGGGGTTATACAAGTCTCTCGGGCATTAGAACGTCCTGCTGGTTAGCCTGAGCAGCTGGCATTAAAAAGACCCCCAGACTACGGGGGTGGTCTGTGGGATTTCACACTTAGACATCCAGAACACCAGGAGCCTTATGCTGGGTTCTTCTCGCACTGTCACAGTACTTTGTGCTAGGTGCTGTGTGGTGTGCTGGGGGCGCTGTGAGGAGCAAGGCGGAGGCCAGCTTGTAGGTTTCCCAGTGGTGGCTCAACTCCATCCCCGCTCTGCAAAGCTGTTGCTGGCCTCATGGCAGGGCACGGTGGTCTCATACACAGGCTTTGTATTAGTAGCAAAGTGGATGCAAAAACTGTATACTCATGAGGGAAAGCCTTGGAAATGTTACAAGTCTGGAAGGTTCCCGCCCAAGTTTTACTTGTACGTGAACTGGAGCTGGTCGCTGTGTGGAGACCGCAGGCTGATCAGATTAAAGAACTACAGACTGAGCTCAAGAACCAGATCGCCTTTGAGATGGGTGCCCTGGTGCAGAGGCTGTAACTGCCGCTTGGCCCCTGACATCCCCTACTGGAATACTCGTCCAAGTTCTGGCCATCCTGCTTCCAGTCCAGCTCCTGCTAATGTGCCTGGGAAACAAGGAATGATGTCCCCCACATGGGGGAACCCAGTGGAGTTTCCAGCCCCTTAGCTTTGGCCAGGCCCAGCCCCGGCTGTTGTGGGTATTTGGGGGGGGGGTAAACAGCAAATGGAAGATCTCTCTCTCTCTCTCTTTCCCGTTCACTCTACTTTTCAAATAAACTACTCCTGGAAAAAAGAAACGTGGGTCCTCAATAAACATCAGTGACTGCTGCTCGTGGGCACAAGCCCTGGGGGCCAGGGCAAAGGTTAACTTGTCAGAATCCACCACTGCTATTAAAGACAGCAGGTCACTGATGGACCCATGGTTCGTTCATATGCCAGGGACTGTAAACGTGGGTCCCTGTGAACGAGTGGCTTCTTTTTTTTTTTTTTTTAAAGATTTATTTATTTATTTGAAAGTCAGAGTTACACAGAGAGAAGAGAGACAGAGAGAAAGAGAGGTCTTCCATCTGCTGGTTCACTCCTCAATTGGCTGCAATGGCCAGAGCTGCGCCAATCCAAAACCAGGATCCAGGAGCTTCTTCTGGGTCTTCCATGTGGGTGCAGGGGCCCAAGGACTTCGGCCATCTTCTACTGCTTTCCCAGGCCACAGCAGAGAGCTGGATCAGAAGTGGAACAGCAGAGTCTTGAACCAGGGTCCATATGGGATGTCAGCACTGCAGGCGGTGGCTTTACCTGCTGCGCCACAGCACCGACCCTGCTTCTTAACGTTTGAGAACGTCTCACTCGGAGTGGTGGAAAGAACAGAATTAAGCACTAATGTAGGATTTTCGTTTGAAAAATCGTGTGTCTGGTTCTGAACGACCTGCTTCTGTTTGAAAGAGAGGTGTGAGTTGTTGGGAAGCTCCCTCCTGCCTTTTTTTTTGACAGGCAGAGTGGACAGTAAGAGAGAGACAGAGAGAAAGGTCTGCCTTTGCCGTTGGTTCACCCTCCAATGTCCGCAGAGGCCGGCACGCTGCGGCCGGCGCACCACCCTGATCCGAAGGCAGGAGCCAGGTGCTTCTCCTGGTCTCCCATGGGGTGCAGGGCCCAAGCACTTGGGCCATCCTCCACTGCACTCCCGGGCCACAGCAGAGAGCTGGACTGGAAGAGGGGCAACCGGGACAGAATCCGGCGCCCCGACCGGGACTAGAACCTGGGGTGCCGGCGCCGCAAGGCGGAGGATTAGCCTAGTGAGCCACGGCCCCTCCTGCCTTTTAAACTGGGTTGGGAAGTGCGTGTGATAAAGTAAAAATGAAGAAATGCTGTGAGTTCAAAATGCGAGAAAAATCTGCTGCTTTTGTCCACAGCCCTCCCAAGACGTGACTGCGGCGTCAGTGTTTGTGTTTTCTTTCAGGAATTATTTGTTCATAAACAAATTTATGCCAAATATTCTACTTTAGTGTCTTATTATTTTCTGACATTGTTATTGTGGTAAAATATATGAAACATTAATGCCGCCTTCTTAGCTACTTTTAAGTATGTAGTGCGGTGCTATTACGTATATTCTCAGGGCTGGCGCTGTGGCATAGCAGGTAAAGCCACCGCCCATAGTGCTGGCACCCAAATGGGCGCTGGGTTGAGTCCTGGTGGCTCCTCTTCTGATCCAGCTCTCTGCTGTGGCCTGGGAAAGCAGTAGAAGATGGCCCAAGTGCTTGGGCCCCTGTACCTGCGTGGGAGACCTGGAAAAAGCTCCTGGCTTTGGATTGGCGAAGCTCTGGTCATTGCAGCCATCTGGGGAGTGAACCAGCGGATGGAAGACCTCTTTCTTTCTCTCTGTCTCTCTTCTCTCTGTGTAACTCTGACTTTCAAATAAATAAATCAATCTTTTTTTCTTTAATTTATTTGACATGTAGGGTTGTAGACAGTGAGAGAGAGAGAGAGAGAGAAAAGTCTTCCTTCTGTTGGTTCACCCCCCCAATGGCCGCTATGGCCGGCGTGCCACGCCGATCCGAAGCCAGGAGACAGGTGTTTCCTCCTGGTCTCCCATGCGGGTACAGGGGCCCAAGCACTTGGGCCATCCTCCACTGCCTTCCTGGGCCACAGCAGAGAGCTGGACTGGAAGAGGAGCAGCTAGGACTAGAACCCGGTGCCCATATGGGTTGCTGGTGCTGCAGGCAGAGGATTAACCAAGTGAGCCATGGCGCCAGCCCCAATAAATCTTTTTTTAAAAATATATTCTCATGGTTGTGTTGCCATCACCACTACCCATTTCCGGAACATCTTTATCTCACAAAACTGAACTTACGTACTTATCTACTAACTCCCAATTTCCTCCTTTTTAAACTTTTATTTAATAAATATAAATTTCCAAAGTACAACTTTTGAATTATAGTGGCTTCCCCCGATAACCTCCCTCCCACCCGCAGCCATCCCATCTCCCACTCCCTCTCCCATCCCATTCTTCATCATGATTCATTTTCAATTATCTTTATATACAGAAGATCAACTTAGTATATACTAAGTGAAGATTTCAACTGACTGTACCCACAAAGACACACAGAGTATAGAGCACTGTTTGGGTAGTAGTTGTAGAATGTGTTAGGAATTCCTTACCTTTTCTGGCTGAGTAGTATTCCATTGCGTGGGCATACCACATTTTGTTTATGGCTTCATCCCTGGCTGGGCCCTTGGGTTGCTTCCATGTTTGGGCTCTTTGGAATGATGCTGACGTGACAGTGGAGCTGAGGTATCTCTTTGAGTCCTTGCTGTTGGGACTTCTGGGTCCATACCCAGATGCGCAGTCGCTGGGCCCTTTGAGAATGCTGCTTTACTATTTTTTATGGCTCATTATATCCAAGTTTAGGTTCGCAGAAAACCGAGTTCCCATTTTCCTGCTTGCCCTCTCTCAGTTTGCTGTATTATTAATGTCCTGCAGCTTACATTTTGTACATTTGTCCTGCTTTGTACATTTCCAACCCCTGGAAACCCCTGCCCAGTTTCCTGTCTCTGCAGTTTTACCTTCCTGGAATGTCAGATGGGTGAAGTCACACACCGTGTAGCCTTCTCAGACGGGCTTCCTGCATTTAGCAAAGATGCTCTTATGCTTTTTCCATGTCTTTGTAGTGGGATAGCTCAGCTTTTTTTTTTTTTTTTTTAAATCACTGAGTATTGATGTAATACTGCTTATTCACCTATCCAAGGGACCTTGCTGTAGGCGAGTTTTGGAGGTGTGAATCAGACTGCTAGCAACACCTATATGCAGGTGCTTTGCGATGAGAAAAGTTGTACCTCATTTGGGTAAGTAGCAACTGCTGAGTTGAATGATGAGTGTGGTTAGCTCCCTAAGAAGCTGTGACACCGTCCTCCAAAGTGGCTGTTCCATTTTGCGTTCCTATCAGGAATGAGTGAAGAGAAGAGTAGTTGATTTTCATTTGGTTTGGCTTGGTCCTTGTTTTGAGGTCAGAAGTGATGGGCTCTATGCTTTCTGGGTGCCGGACTGGAAACTGGAAGTCTCCCCACTTACAGCTCTAATAAGGTGAATGAATAAAATTCATTGCTAACAAGCACTTTTACTATTTGAATGTGTACTTAGGACTTTGTGTTGTGTTCTGCTGCCATTTGCTGGTGCAGCGTCTTCTCGTGGGAATAGAGGACAGTGGCGCTGTAAAAAGTGCATAGAGATGAGTGCTTCCCAGACCAGGAGGACATGCAGACGTGCTGACATTGCACATAGTCTCACCTTGGAGTTGAGCTTCCTTGGCCTGGTTCTTGTTTTGAAGGAGAAGGCCACATCGGGAAGTGTTTTTATTATATAAATGTCGAGTTCAATTTTGAAACTATAGGGCTTAGATTTAAACATGTTGTAGGCTGGGAAATCTTGACGACCTCAAGAGTCAAGAACATGATACTCCTTTCTTTGGCACAGACATGGTTTTCCTGGTTAAATAAACATAAAGTTATATGTGGTGAGTGAGGTAGACGGTATTCTTATGTCTTTTGATGAGGGTGCTGCACACAGTGCCAACTCCAAAAGGAGCAAGGGGGTGTGGCGCTACGGCTGCTTGTGCCTGCTGTTCCCCATCACCAAGTCCCTGGGGTCAGCTGAGTCGTCCGTGTGTGTTCTCTCAGGGCTGCTCCCAGCATGCAACACGTGCTCACGTGCTCTGCCGCCCCACCTGACCCCAGCAGCGCTCTGCACACAGACTGTCCTACAACTGGCTTTTCCCACCTAAACATACACCTTGCGGGTGTCGGGGCAGAAGGAGATAAAGGGCTGAAGAGCAGAGCGTGTGTGCAGAACGGGGCTTTCCAGTCACCAGGCTGCAGTCCTGTAGGAGGCTCCAACACCCCTAGCAATCTCGTGAGGGATGCGGACCTGGTCCTTCCGACTGCTGTCTGTAGGGGACAAAATCCCACCCAAACCCCATATTCACAACCTAAGGGCAGGGTCTTCGTTCACGCTTGCATCTGTGCAGTGCTTCTAGCATTGAAATCCCAACAAGGTCAGGGTTGCTGAGTGCCTGTTTCTAGGGCTGGGTGTGAGGCAGAGAAGGGCGAGGATGAAGGGGTGAGACTGGCCAGGCAGAGGAAGGGGAGTCTGCATCGACATCCCCGGTCTGAAGGGGGAGAGGGGCCGGCAGAGGCTCTGTGTGGGGGTGCTGTCCTGCTACTGCACTTCATCTTGGACCGACCCCCCAGGCTGATTTTTTTTTTTTTTTTGACAGGCAGAGCGGACAGTGAGAGAGAGAGAGACAGAGAGAAAGACCTTCCTTTGCCGTTGGTTCACCCTCCAATGGCCGCCGTGGCTGGCGCGCTGTGGCCGGCGCATCGCGCTGACCCGAAGGCAGGAGCCAGGTGCTCCTCCTGGTCTCCCATGGGATGCAGGGCCTAAGCACTTGGGCCATCCTCCACTGCCTTCCTGGCCACAGCAGAGAGCTGGCCTGGAAGAGGGGCAACCGGGACAGAATCCGGCGCCCCAACCGGGACTAGAACCCGGTGTGCCGGCGCCGCAAGGCGGAGGATTAGCCTAGTGAGCCACGGCGCCTGCCTTCCCCAGGCTGATTTTAAGATTACCCTTGCCTGTTGTGTATCCGTGGAGGAGAAGGTGCCGTTGAGGCTGGGATTGCACCAGCTGGGCTGAACACTTGAGTGTTAGCGCTGAAAACTACCCCAGCCAGCAGGGATTGGGCACAGCAGATGTTCTGACCCAGGCAAGTGTCACCAAGAGCCAATGGCTCTCACCCGCCCTGCAATATGCAGAACTGGGCTGGGCAAAACCAGCTGCCATTGGCGTAAGCTCAGCCAGGGACATTCTGAGTTAATCAAGGAGAATTCTGCAAAACCCAGTGTCACTTCTCCAGAACTTAGTACTCTGTGGCCACAAGTTGGTATGCTCCAGCCAACATCTCCCCATTTCCCCCACCCCACAACCCCTGGAAACCGTTATGCTCCCTGTCCCTACGAGTTTACCATGTCAGTCTCTACATGACAGTGAGCCCTTAGTATACTTGCTTTTTCTCTGGATGGCTTCTTTCACTTAACACAACATCCAGGTTCATCCACGTTGTCACTAATGGCAGAATTTCCTTCTTTTTGAAGGCAGAGTAATATTCTATTGTGTATAAGTAAAAGACAGCACTTTACTTGTCAATTGGTGGACACTTATGTTGTTTGTACATCTTGGTTATTATGAATAATGCTGCAGTGAACATGGGAGGTGGCTATCTCTCTGACATATTGATTTCATTTCCTTGGATAATTTTATTTTTAATTTTTGAGGAACCTCCATAATCATTTTTCAAAATGATGTACCAATTGCATCTGTAGTTTTATGTCAAAGATGCTGAGAAAAATGTGAGTAAATCACTCCAGCCAGCTACTAGGCTATAAGCTTGACATTTCTCTAGCTGTTGCCAAAGCCCTATGCGGTGGCTGGCACTGTGCACTGAGTTAAGCTCTGTATGCCTGGATCGGCATAGCTTCTCCACAGACACACACTGAATGAAAGAATCAATCAACAGATGAGAGATGCATCTAAAATTCTAGCACCATGCTCAGCAGGTAATAAGGCTTGAACAATTATTTATTCATTGTTTACAGATGTTCCATCCCTTGTGTTCTAAGGAAAAATCCCTGTTTTCCTTTCCCAAAGATTTTGTTGAGGCTACCTGTATGTGTGGAAATCCGTGAGCCATTTTATTTTGTTTCATTTTTAAAAAAGATTTATTTATTTATTTGAAAGTCAGAGTTACACAGAGGCAGAGAGAGAGAGAGAGAGAGAGAGAGAGAGAGAGAGGTCTTCCATCCACTGGTTCACTCAATTGGCCACAACAACTGGAGCTGGGCTGATCTGAAGCCAGGAGCCAAGAGCTTCTTCCAGGTCTCCTACGTGGGTGCAGGGGCCCAAGGACTTGGGCCATCCTCCACTGCTTTCCCAGGCCACAGCAGGGAGTGGATCAGAAGTGGAGCAGCCGGGACTTGAACCGGTGCCCATATGGGATACTGGCACTGCAGATGGTGGCTTTACCCGCTATGCCTCAACGCTGGCCCAAGCCATTTTGAATGAGTTGATTTCTGTTCTGCCAAATTATGAAGTCAAACATGCATTCGGTCTGAGTGATTCCCCTGTGACTGGTAACTCTAAGGAAGCTTGGCAGTGATTCTCCTTTGTGTTGGTTCCCTCCCTCTCCCTCTCGGCGCTCTCCTGCCTGCTTACCTTGGGGATGCTCCAAGCCCGTACGTCCATGGTGTCCTCCTTCTCACGTGAAGGCTGTGTCACACAGAGGGTACAGCTTTCCGTCAGGCGTTGAAACAGTTCCCTACTGATGGGAGTCTGGGTGTTTCTCATCTTTGCTCTTCCAAACTCAGCTGCCTGGTTCACATGGAAGGTGCATGGAGACAAAAAGAGATGTGAGTCCAGATGCAGGAATGCACAGGCCACACCCGGGTACCGAAAACAATGATTGTGGCCATCAGTGATGGCATCAGAGAGCACCCTTTTTGGACAGGCTGCCTTTACTTTTTGAGTCAGACTGAGCTGGCGGCCATCCGAGACCCTGTCATTTTTTGCACGTGCTGTGATTTAGCCTCGTTATCTTTCGCATCTTGTTCTTGTGCAATTGTTTTTCTCAAATCTAAGTGCGGGGTTGACTTACATAGCCTGCTACATTCCACCTTGCTAGCTCTGACTGTTGTTCTCACCCATCAAGATAATGCTGGTTGTTGACTCTGCCGTCTGATATTTTCCTTAATCCTCCTGGGTTATGTTATCTTCATGTGAGCCCCATCTAGGCATTCTTTCCCTGACTGTTTGTTGCGGGCCAGTCCATGTGCCAGGCACCGTTCTGAGCTCCGGGGACGCAGCAGTGAACAGACAGGAGCAACGTCTGTTCTCTCCTAGCGTCCATTCTGGTGGGCAGACAGACACTAAACCCAGTGACGTAAGTGACAGGTGTGGTATATTTGATAATGTCCAGTGCCAAGGAGAAAAAACAAGGCAGGGGAGATGGTGAGGAAGCAAGGGGGATCTATTGCGATTTTAGATAGCGTGTCTAGAAAACCCTACAGGAAATGGTGGCATTTGGGCAGGGATCAGAAGATGTTTCTGTCCGACTCATTGGAAACTATGGAGAAAAGCAATGTTTCCGTCTGTCCCTAGAGCGCTCCCTAGAGGTCCATGTTGACCCATTAATTGGCACATTTGGTCTACATGAATTAATCTGTGACATTTCTCTGTAATTTAATTCTCTAGCCTTTCTTTACTGTTTTTTTTTTAAAGATTTATTTATTTATTTGAAAGTGTTGTACAGAGAGAGGAGAGGCAGAGAGAGAGAGAGAGAGAGAAAGGTCTTCCATCTGCTGCCTCACTCACCAGTTGGCTACAACGGCCAGAGCTGCACCAATCTGGAGCCAGGAGCTTCTTCCTTGGTCTCTTATGTGGGTGCAGGGAGGGGCCCAAGGACTTGGTCCATCTTCCACTGCTTTCCCAGGCCTTAGCAGAGAGCTGGATCGGAAGTGGAGCAGCTGATACTCCAACCGGTGCCCACATGGGATGCCGGCACTGCAGGTGGTGGCTTTACCTGCTATGCCACAGCGCCGGCCCCTCTTTGCTGTTCTTAGATACTTCAAGACATCGAGAGGGAGGCGGCATCGTGGCACAGTGGGTTAAGTGACCACCTGTAACAACGGCATCTCTTATGGAAGCACTGGTTTGAGTCCCGGCTACTCTTCTTCCCATCCTGTTCCCTGCTGATGTGCCTGGTAGAGCAGCGCAAGACGGCCCGAATGCTTGGGCCCCTGCACCCTCGTGGGAGACCTGGAAGGCACTCCAGGCTCCTGGCTTTGACCTGGACTGGTCCCAGCCGTTGAGGCCGTTTGGCAGAGAGAATCAGTGGATGGAAGATATTCCCTCTCTCTCTTGCGCACGTGCGCGCACACGCTTTGTCTCTCTAATTCTGCCTTTTAAATAAAATGTGTGAAAACACTAATTGCCCCATGTCAGCTGGACTACCCAGTGGGAAAACTGGGGAGTGGAGGCCGCTGTGGGCAGAGGAAGGGGAGGTGGGGATGAGCGAGGGGCGGTTTCCCATCTTCCAGGCTTCCTCTAGAGAGCACAGGCAGCAGTCTTCAGTGTCTGTTATGTTAACGTGACGTCAATACTAAGGGAACAGATTCAGTGTCGGTCAGACACAGTTCTAAGAATGTAACACTGCCCTCCCTCCCTCTTCTTTTTTGCCTCCTTCCTCTCCCTTAATTTTGGCGATAACATCTTTCTAATTTACATTATAGTCAAATGCTTAATGCTCCACTAAATAAACAAGTAAAAAGGAATATAGGCAAGCGCTACAACAGTAATCGAATGAAAAGATGTCTATTTCACTCATACACAGCAAATCTTGAAATAATCACAGATCATTAAAACTAGTAATTGGTTTGATGAAGATATTTTACAAATTTGACAAAACTATATTTGCAGCAATACTGGTACATATAGGCATGTCATTCTTTGTTTTTGTTTTTTGATTTTTTTTTTTTTTTGACAGGCAGAGTGGACAGTGAGAGAGAGAGAGACAGAGAGAAAGGTCTTCCTTTGCCGTTGGTTCACCCTCCAATGGCTGCCGCGGCCGGCACCGCGCTGATCCGATGGCAGGAGCCAGGAGCCAGGTGCTTTTCCTGGTCTCCCATGGGGTGCAGGGCCCAAGCACCTGGGCCATCCTCCACTGCACTCCCTGGCCACAGCAGAGGGCTGGCCTGGAAGAGGGGCAACCGGGACAGAATCCGGCGCCCTGACCGGGACTAGAACCCGGTGTGCCGGCGCCGCTAGGCGGAGGATTAGCCTAGTGAGCCGCGGCGCCGGCCTGTTTTTTGATTTTTTAAATTTCAGCTCCCACATCTAAGGAGAACATGTGGTGTTTGTCTTTCCGTATCTGGCTTGTTTCACTCACCATGTCTTCCGCTCGCATCAGTTTTGATGCAAATAGCAGAATTTCGTTCTTCTTACAGCTGAATAATATTCCAGTGTGTGTGTGGGTGTGAGTGTGTATCACATTTTCTTTATCCATTTACCTGATGATGGACACCTTGATTAATTCCATATCTCGGCTATTGTGAACAGTACTGCTATAAACACGGTGGGGCAGACCTGTGCTTGATAGAATGATTTCATGTCTGCTGGGTTTATACCCAGTAGCAGGACGGCTGGATCATACGGCAAGTCTATTTCTAGATTTTTTAAGAAATCTCTATTCTTTTTTTTAAACTTTTATTTAATAAATACAAATTTCCAAAATACAGCTTTTGGATTACAGTGGCTCCCCCCCCCCCCATAACTTCCCTCCTACCCGCAACTCTCCCATCTCCTGCTCCCTCTCCCATTCCATTCACATCAAGATTCATAAGAAATCTCTATTCTAAGACTCAATCCTCTTTGGCAACATTGTGAGAAATTAACTTCTTTCCCCAGCCAACTTTGGCAAATGAATTCTGAATGACACACCACTGCTCTGACCCAGCCGTTCCAGTCCAAACCCAAGGCATGCCCCTTCACCTTACCCCTTCTCTCTTGGGGAGCAACTTCCTCTCCAGGGGTTGAGGCTGCCAGAGGCCACGCGCACCCTGTGTTGTCACTCCGCCTGACGGACAGCTCTGAGCAGGTGTACTGCTATCTTCACACTTACCTGCAGGCTGCAGTGTTGCCACGAGGATCTCCCGAGCCCGGGCTCTCGTTGGGTTTTCCGAGTGTACAAACAGGTTGGGTGGAGGTTCAGGTAGACAGTGAATTCGTGTAGCAGACATAGGCTGCAGGTGAGCTGTGAGCGCCAAGTACCTCCATCAGGGCTCCATCATGTTCCCAAGAGAACGCACCCTTGATGTGCCCTGCCTCAGTTTCTCCATCTGTGGAATCAGTCTGATCATTCCTAAGGCTAATTCTCCACTTCTAGAGTTCAGATTTTATGTATATGTTTTCTTTAAAGTTACTAGGCTGAGGGGCCAGCGCTGTGGCACAGTGGGTAAAGCCGCCACTTGTGGCATGGACATCTCATGTGGACACAGGCTTGGTCCCGGCTGCTCCACTTCTGGCCCAGCTCTCTGCCGATGCACCTGGGAAAGCAGTGGGAGACCTAGAAGAAGCATCCGGCTCCTGGTTTCTGATCGGCTCAGCTCTGGCCGTTGCAGCCATTTGGAAAGTGAATCAGCAGATGGAAGACCCCACCCCCTTCTCTCTCTCTCTCTCTCTCTCTCTCTCTCTCTCTCTGACTTTCACATAAAAAAAATGTCACCAGGGTGTCAGTAGTGCAGGACTCTGAATTCACAAACGCTGCTACTGAAAAATATTTGATGCTTTTGCTGACAGGAGACAGCCGGGGATAAGCCAGCAGCCTTCAGCACAGTGGTCAGCCATGGCTGCAGCCCTCAGAAGGGACCCGCTGGGAGCACCCACAGCACCCACAAGCGGAAGTGCTACTGCAGGGAGAGAAAATCCCCCCGGCTCTGGGATCTGCCGTGAACTCTCGGATTCGCCTCCTTCTCCATTCTCCGGGTGAGAAGTGGGATTTTTCCTGAGAGCAGCTCTGCCGAGGGCTGAGGGAGCCACCTCGCCAGAATGGCCCTTTGTTCCGCTCCCGGTGACTCACTCTCGGGCTATGAGGAGGCTTAGGCAAGCCTGGCCTGGAGAGCTGGGACTGACTGCGGCCAGGGCTTGCGTAAGAGGTAATTGCGCAGCCAGCCGGGGCTTGCCTCTCCCGCCAGGCCCCCTCTTGCCCCCAGCAGCTTACGTGCCTGTTAATATTTAAACTGAGGAGGAGTACCAGGCTGGTTAGAAGCCGCAGCCACGGGTGCCGGGTTCAGGGCAGGGACCCCGCGACGGGCAGGGCCCCGGGAAGGGGCTGAGGGACCAGGGCTGGCTTTCTTAGAGGGTTTTTGTGAGTTTTTTTTTTTTTTTTGTCCCTGACCTTGGGGGAGAGGTAATAAAATTTCCTCCTTTGCCCACAGGAATGGATAAAAATCATAAAAGTCCTCTTAAAGTCACTCAACAAAACAAAACAAAACAAAACAAAACAATTCTCGGCTGTAACTCGTGGTCTTTGGAAATGGACCCCACATAGGATTTTAACTTTCAAGAGTAACAGAAAACAAAACAAAAATGATTGTCCTGTAGCTTCTGGCCAGGGGAGGAAGCAAGCATGGATCCGGCGTGACGCGGCCACTGCATCCCTGCCCCGCGAGAGGCTGCCCACCCCCCCCCCTCCCGGACTCCAGCTGTCTGTGTCGTCTCGGCAGTGTCAGGGTGTCAGGTGTCCTCTGGACGGAGACACAGGGACAGGACACTGGCGAGTGTGAGGCGAGGGAGCGCTGTCCGGCCCCCAGGCGTCCCCGGCCCTCCTGGGCGGTGAACGAATGTTTCCTCCCAGGGACTCCGTGGACAGAGCCTGCAGCCCGGCGCTCCCTGGGCGGGGGGTCCTGAACGTGACGTTGTAGGTGGGCTGCACGGGGCAGGGGCTTCTCTCACGGGGTGACGGCTTCCTTCTCTTGACTTTTCCCTCTGCTCCCCCTTTCACTCCTTCCTGCCTTCCCTCTCTCCCCTTCTCCGTCCCCTCTGCGTTCTCTCCTTTTTAGCAACTGTATTTGTTGCAAATGTAAGATAAAGCACATTAGTGATGAAAAGGGTACCTGGGCCCTGCCATGCGTGTCGGAGACCCAGGTGGAGCTCCTGGCTCCTGGCTTCATCCTGGCCCAGCCCCTGCTGTGGGGGCCACCTAAAGACAGAACCAGCAGAGGAAGACCTCTGTCTGTCCCTCGGTCTGTCCCTCTCTCTGTGTCACTCTGCTTTTCAAGTAGATGGAATAAATCTAAAAAAGTTAAGATTTCTTCCAAACAGAATGAAGAGGTGGAAACCCGTATTTTCTGTTGTGGGCCTCCCAGCCCTACCAGTTACCCCGAGGTAGCTACAATGTAAACCCTTCCTAAAGTCCTCTGCAAGCGTTCATGCCTATGCATCCCTCTGTCATCAGTCAGTCTGTCTGTATCCATCATCTACCTACCACCTGTCAATCATCTGAACGCACTGTTCTACCACCTGGTTCTCTCCCTGTGTAGCAGCCTCCCCTCGACACCGTTCCACAACACACAAAGGCCTACCCATGCACCTCCTCACTGCTTAGTACTCCACTGGGTGTTCATGCTAATTAATTTAACCTGTTCTTTCAATTGGTATTAACGAGTTTCCCCCGAGTTTGGAGGAGACTGCAAACAGCACGGCAGCACATATCCTGGTACACATGCACTTTTGCACGGTTGAGAGAACTTACCCTGGGGAGACATTCCTAGCAGTGGAATTGCTGGGTCAAAGGGTATGTGCATTTTACATTTTAATACATACTGTCAAACTGCCCAGCAAGAAGGCTGCCCGGTTTACAACCCCATTAACAGGACACAAACCACCTATTTCCTCAAACACTCACCAGCTCCATGTTCTATCAGACCTTCAGATCTTCGCCTAAAAGACAAATGGCAAGTCATTATTGCTTTAATTTGCACTTTAATAATGAAAGACTGGACCTTTTTCACATATTTATGGCCTATTTGCCTTTTTTTGTGGAGACGATGGATGGTCTTGAATACTGTTCATTCCTACTGGGTTTTAGGGAGTTAACAAAACTGATTTGCGAAAGCTTTGTCATTAGTGTTCGTGTGTCACTGGGCCACACATAGATTCCGTGTCTGTCTGTCTTTTCCACAGGGGAAGTTAACAGTATTTATGGGTTCAGACTTTCTTGTTTCTTCTTTGTAAGCGTTGCAGGGCTTGTGCCATGTCAAAGAACCCAGTTCCCACAGAGGACTGGAAGCTCACCCTGGCTTTCTGCTGGTCTTTCAGGGTTTGCAAATCTCTGTCATTTCAGACATTTACGCTGGTGCGCGGAGCGAGGTAGGGATTCGGTCTGAGACCAGGTGGTTTTGGGAATGAACCTGTCAGCTACAGTGAGGCGTTGCCGGTGAAGGAGGTGTGTCCCTGTGGGAAGCAGAGACTCCAGGCAGGAATCGGCCTCATTCGCTCTTCTCTTGGACTAAACATTCTGACCTTTCCCAGTCAGGAGCATCCCTGGAGGTCTTTGAAGGAAACCGCAAACCCTAGAGGTGCAGATGGCTGGAAGGTTGAGAGAAAATGGGAAGCTGAGGGCTTCCGGCGGGAAGGGAGGAACAAAGTTGAAGATGGGCTCAATCGCTCGTGTGGATCCACCTTAGAGAGAGTGGGGCCTGTGTTTCACTTTGTAATAAAAATGAGTTATTTAAAATAGTTATTGAAAACCAAAGGGTAGGAATTATAACTTACAGCCATAGGCGCAATATGGCTATCAAGTTGTTTATAGGTTTATGTTTTTAGTTTTAAAATTTAGCGATTTTTGACATTTTGCCAAATTCACTTCAAACGTGGCATTATATTTCTACACACACTTACTGTTTTTCTTGAAAACAGAGATATTAACGTCACAAAGTGAAGGAGTGGTGACAGCATTCACACCGTGGGAAAAGAAGAGTAATATTATCATATGATAGAGTCAGTGAATCAATATTCGTAACATCCACACAACTTTTATACTCACTCGCTCTCTATATGAGCTTCTGGAAATAAGAGAAAATGTGTGCTTGTCTTCCCAAGTCTGGCTTATCTCACTTAGCATAATGATCTCTGGGGCGTCCATTGTTGCCAATGTCAGCACTTAGTTCTTTTTTATGGCAGAGTAATATTCCATCGTGTGTCTACACACCGCATTTTTTTTTTATCTTTTATTTAATGAATATAAATTTCCAAAGTACGACTCATGGATTACAATGGCTTCCCCCCCCCCAATACCGTCCCTCCCACCCACAACCCTCCCCTTTCCCACTCCCTCTCCCCTTCCATTCACATCAAGATTCATTTTCGATTATCTTAATATACAGAAGATCAGCTTAGTATACCTTAAGTAAGGATTTCAACAGTTTGCTCCCACACAGAGACATAAAGTGAAAAATAATAGATGATTTTTTTTAAATGATGATGAAATCAGATCAGACCTATTGTCATGTTTAATCCCAGTGAGAGTCAAGTTGGGAATTGATAATTTCTTTTTTTTTTTTAACAGAAGATCAGTTTAGTATACATTAAGTAAAGATTTCAGCAGTTTGCACCCATATAGAATCACAAAGTGAAATATACTGTTTGAGTATTCATTATAGCATTAAGCCTCAATGTACAGCACATTAAGGACAGAGATCCTACATGAGGAGTAAGGGCACAGTTACTTCTGTTGTTGCCTTTACAAATTGACACCCCTGTTTATGGCATCAGTAATCTCCCTATGCACCAGTCATGAGTTTCCAAGGCTATGGAAGCCCCTTGAGTTCTCCGACTCTTATCTTGTTTAGACAAGGTCATAGTCAAAGTGGAGGTTCTCTCCTCCCTTCAGAGAATCAGTTGATTGACATCTGAGTTGATTCCACATCTTTGGTTTTGTGACTCGAGCTGCTATGAATATGGAAGGTCAGGCATCTCTTTGGTTCGCGGATTTCACTTTGGATGTATTCCTGGGAGTGGAAGAGCTGGGTGCTGTGGAAGATCTAGTTGTAGTTTTCTAAGGAATCTCTGGGCTGTTTTCCATGATAGCTGTACCAGTTTTCACCCCACCAACAATGTATTAAGGAGCATCTTCCTCCACGGCCTCACCAGGCTGTGCAGCCTTTTGATTCTTGAGTAAGATCCTTTCTAACTGGGATGAGGTGATGCCCCATTTTATTTGCATTTCCCTGGTGGCTAGTGACCCATACATCTGTTGGCCGTTAGTATCTCATCCTTTGAAAAGTGTCTGTTCATAGGCTTTGCCCATTTCTTAACTGGGTTGTTTGTTTTATTGTTGAGTTTCAACAAGGCCTATTTCTAACTCCACAATATGAACGTAGAAGACAAATACCAGGCTGAATAAATACTCTGAGTAGATCCTTTGTTCACCTCGCTCTGTTCGAGAGGGAACAAGGAACACAGAACATTTTTTGTTAGTCTCACTTCAACCATATTTCTACAGTGTACTGTCTTGGTTGAACGGATGAAACCTCTTCTGCGAGGCTCAAGACATCTCATGCAGTATATGGCCCAGGTTCCTCCCACAGTTCCACATGTGCGGCGTATTTGTCCTTTAAAGACCAAATAAGCTAATTGCGCAATCAGTAACTTTAGAGGCTCCTACTTCTTGGCAGGAGCGATCGGATATGCTTGGTGGCAAGGCCCTACGTCACTCTGATTTGCAACATAAGTAACAGTCCTGTAGCTCAGGTTCCAGGTAATTGAGCTAAAAGGCACTGAGGGTCTCCTTCTCCCAAGTGTCTGCCTCACAGGAAGTTGTGTGATTTGTGTAATAATCGTAAGTGGGTTCGTGAGGATTTTATTTCATCATTAAGGCTGACATATAATGTTACTGCTACTAATACTGTTCCCATTTGTTGAATCTACACTCTGTGCCATGTACTATAAATATATTGTATTACACACACACACACACACACACGCACGCACGATTTGTCCCTTTGGTTCCAGGGTACCCGAGGATACTGACATCCATGGATGTTCAGGTTCCTTTCATATAACCTGCTACACATCCTCCTGTATAGCTGCAGTCATGTCTGGGTTACTTATACTACTAATGCAATGCAGATGATATGCAGACAGTTCTTATCCTGTGCTGTTAGGGAACAATGAAAAGAAAACAAGTCTATGCATTTCCAGTAGAGAGGCAGTTTTGGGGGATGTTTCTACCTGTGGTTGGTTGCATTCTTGGGTGCAGGGCTGTGGACATGCAGGGCAGACTGTACGTATGTTCCACTTTGTTTCTAGGCCTCCCTCCGGGCCGCCAGTCTGGCTCTGCTGTGATCATGCTACAGATGAGGAGAGAGGGGTCGAGACTGCAAGGACACAGAGTGAGGTCGCACAGCATTGAACTCTCATCCCACACTGTTTGACTCCACACTCTGAGCTCCTCCCACGGTGTCATTCCGTCCCTTCGGGCAGACAGGTGCAGCCGCAGTGAGAGACCGGAACTTCGCAGGCGGAGTTGAAGTGTCCAGAAGCACAAGGAATCAAGATCTATCGCACGCTGTTTCCCAGCCGCTCCTTCCCCAGGGCTGCAATCTGCCTGTTACCATGGAAGCCACACCTCTAACTCAGATCTAGTTAGAGATCTAGTTAGATCTAGTTAGCCAACTCTCTAACTCAGAGTGTCCGTGCCGGCCTCTCCGGTATTTCAGCCATCCCACTGCTGTCTCTGCGGCGTTCTGGGCACAGCAAGGCGCCTCTCCTGGCCTGGCCTGGCCACCTTTGGTTCAGCTGAAGTGGGGCTCAGGGGAGCAGAGGGAAGAGTCTGGACAGGGCTCTCAGACAGCACTGGGGGTGGGGGTGGTGAGGGGTGCTGCGCATGCCTGGGCTTCCTGTTAGGGCCCCCATGCTGTGACCATGGCTGCCCCCCTCATCCCACCTCATGACCGCTTTCCACTGCTTTCTTCTGCTTAGTTCCAGAAACACTCAAGGAAGTGAAACTGCAGTAAAATAGGTGGCAAAGGAGGACACCATGTTGAGGAAAACAAAGACAAATACCGCGCGTGAGACCAGGGTAGATCAGAGCCAGACACGGATCTGAACACTGAACGTTGACAACTGGAGGCTGGGGCATGGGACGCATAGAGCAAGTTTGGGGGCAAACATAATGAAAGTCGGGTCTGGTTCATTAGTTCTGCCAAAGGTACTGATATAAGGCGTTAATGGGGGAAGAGGGAGGGGTTTGCGGGAACGGTTTGCATCACCACCTCAACAGTTCTCATTTGGCAAATTTAATACTGTCTGGGGGCCAGTGCTGTGATGTAGCCCGTAAAGCCTCGGTCTGTGATGCCACCAGCACCCCATACAGGTGCCAGCTCGTGTTCTGGCTGCTCCACTTCTGATCCAGCTCCCTGCTAAGGTGGCCCAGGTGCTGGGGCCCCTGCACCCACGTGGGAGACCTGGTTGGAGCTCCTGGCTCCTGGCTGCAGCCCAGCCCCAGCCATTGTGGTCATTTGGGGAGTGAACCAGTGGATGGAAGACCTCTTTTTCTGTGTGTGTTTGTCTCTTCCTCTCTCTCTCTCTCTGTAACTCTGCTTTTCAAACAAATACTTAAATAAATAATCTTTAAAAAAAACTTCTCTGAAATAAAATGTTAAAAAGAATGTTCAAGGTTTTTTTGTTTGTTTTGTTTTATTTGTATGGGTTTTTGTTTGTTTGTTTTGCATTTAAAGGGACCCTCTGCATTTTGCCATCTTTTCCTAAATCTGTCTGCTCCCTTCATGGCAAAGGTTCTTGAAAGGATTCGAGCCTTGTGGTGTAGCTGGTAAAGCCACCTTCTGCGAAGCCTGCCTCCCATAGGAGGGCTCGTTCATGTCCCCACTGCTCTACTTATTTTTTTTTAAAGATCTTATTTATTTATCTGAGAGGTAGAGTTACAGACAGTGAGAGAAAGAGACAGAGAGAGAGAGGTCTTCCATCAGCTGGTTCACTCCCCAGGTGGCTGCGTCGGCTGGAGCTGCGCCGATCCAAAGCCAGGAGTCAGGAACTTCCTCCAGGTCTCCCACGCGGGTGCAGGGGCCCAAGCACTTGGACCGTCTTCTACCGCTTTTCCAGGCCATAGCTGAGAGCTGGTTTGGAAGAGGAGCAGCCGGGACTAGAACCGGTGCCCATATGGGATGCTGGCGCCGCAGGCGGAGGATTAACCTACTGTGCCACGGGGCCGGACCCCCGCACCGCTCTACTTCTGATCCAGCTCACTGCCAATGGCCTGGGAAGAGCCTTGGGAGATGGCACTAGTGTTTGGGTCCCTGTGCCCACGTGGGAGATGCAGCTGAAGCTCTTGGTTCCTGGCTTCGGCCTGGCCCAGCCCTGGTCAATGTGGCCATCTGGGGAGCGAACCAGCAAATGAAAGATCTCTCTTCTCTCTCTCTAACTTGATTTTCAAATAAATAAATTAATTTTTTAAAAAAAGAAAACTAGAGTTCATCACAGTGCCCACGGCACCTGCCCCAGCCCTACCTGCCTTCGGCCCTGGCCCTGCACTGATGCCTGGACTTCTGTGCCGCACTGGACCCGAGTGGGCACCTCTGCCGGAAGCGTGGTTCTCCTGTTTCCACGGTACTGCTGCTCCAAGCCTTCTCCTTTCCAGATTGCTCTACTGTGTCTCACACACACCCGTGACGCTCGCTGTTAATGACACCAGGGAGTCTTAGTTCCCCTGCCTCACTCCCCCGTTTGCACACAGCATGATGTATGCTACATCTTTGTGTGTTATTTCATGTGGATCTGAAAGTCCATTACACCCCCAAGCCAGGAGCCCTGCAAAGCCCACGCTCCCCTGGACGGGGTCCCATGCCCCTAGGTTGTAGAGTCTGTCTCCCTGCTGAGGTTTTCCCTCTACGTCTCCACCCCACATCTTCCCTGAACTTCAGACACACACAAGGCTACTTCAGAAAGTTCATGGAAAGGTGGACTTTAGGGGGAAGTTCATTTCTGTGCAAGATTTTTGAAAATTCATGAACTTTTTGGAAGGCGCCCTCGTAGATGCAGCTACTTTCTTCATTTTTTTAAAGGTTTATTTATTTATTTGAAAGTCAGAGTTACACAGATAGAGGAGAGACAGAGAGAGAGAGAGAGAGAGAGAGGTCTTCTATCTGCTGGTTCACTCCCTAAATGGCCGCAATGGCCAGAGCTGCACCGATCCGAAGCCAGGAGCCAGGAGCTTCTTCCGGGTCTCCCATGTGGGTGCAGGGGCCCAAGCACTTGGGCCATCTTCTACTGCTTTCCCAGGTGCATTAGCAGGGAGCTGGATCAGAAGTGGAGCAGCCGGGACTAGAACCAGCACCCGTATGGGATGCCAGCGTTTCAGGCCAGGGCGTTAACCCACTGCACCACAGCGCCGGCCCCAGGTGCAGCTACTTTCCCAACAGCTTCACTGAGACGTGCTTTCCATAACTCGAAGTCCCCGTCTCCAATGCCCAGCTCTGCACTGCACGTGGCGCCAGGCTGGCTTGTGAATTACAAAAATGCATTCTTGTCTCGGAACACTCTGCAATTGATGGACACAAGTATTTCAACTGTGATATGAATGGCACACCATGTGGCTTATACAGAGCATGAAGGACTTGCACAACTGCACACACACACACACACAGTCAATCCCTTGCTGTCCTGGCTGCCTGAATGGCCTCCCTGCCCACCCAGTGTCCTCCAAAGACCTTGACCTCCCAGTCCTGGGGATCCACTTTCGGAGGCTGTTGAGGCCTGCCTGTGCCCAGCCCACCACGTCACGTGGCTCAGACCATGTTGCTCCGCCCACATCGTTGTAGCAACGTCCAGCATTGCCTCTGGTTGTGTCCTCCTCTGTTCTCTCTTCTCAGAGCGGCCTGAGTCATGGTTGCGTCTGGGGCGACATCTCAGTGCGTTGCTACAGGATCACTCTGGTGGCATCCCAGCATCCTCAGAGTGCAGGCAGGTTCTTCATGACCCAGTGGATGCTTCCCTCCCTCCGAGAGCAGCCGCGTATCCCACATTCAGGGTTTGCCCTCCCTGAATGTGCGTGCTGTCTCTTGGCCCCGTGCCGGGGTACATAGCGTTCCCTCCACCTGGAAAGCTTCCTGTCCACTCCCTGGCCCCTCCACTCCTGCTTGTCCATGGCTCAGATTTCAGTGTAAATACCAGGCTTTCCAGGAAGCCTCAGTACGTCCCTGGAGGCTGAGAGCACTGCACCTTACACAGCCACATCATCTCCCAGAGCCGCCTCCAGGACGGCCCTCCACACTGCACCCCTTATCCACATCACCGCCAAGAGCCGCCTCCGGGATGGCCCTCCACACTGCACCCCTTATCCACATCACCTCCCAGAGCCACCTCCAGGATGGCCCTCCACACTGCACCCCCTATCCACATCACCTCCCAGAGCCACCTTCAGGACGGCCCTCCACACTGCACCCCTTATCCACATCACCTCCCAGAGCCACCTCCAGGATGGCCCTCCACACTGCACCCCCTATCCACATCACCTCCCAGAGCCACCTTCAGGACGGCCCTCCACACTGCACCTTACACAGCCACATTACCTCCCAGAGCCACCTCCGGGACGGCCCTCCAGGGAGCCCCGTGCTTGCTGTGCGGATCTGGTGGCAGGGGCTGTTGTGTCTTTGCTGGTCAGTCTGCGGTGCCTGGCCTGCGGAAGGTGCGTGCAGAGGTTTGCAGAGGAACTAAGGTTTGTGGGTGACCTCGTCTTACCCTCAGGTCTCCCATTCTGACGATTCAATGGGCACCTCCTTATTTCGTTGAAACATACGATAGGCCCAAAACCCCATCAGAGACACATCAATACATTATTAAGATACGCAAGGAAACCAGGGACTCGATAGGAAAGAAATAAAATACCTGATTTAAGAAATGGACGATGGGCTGCAGTCGCAGACATTCCCTGAAAGGAAGCATTCATTCGGATGGCCCACATGGATCGGTAAAGTACTCAACACCTCTATCCTCAGAGACGCGAGGCGGACACACACAATGAAATCCCACCTCATCTGATTACAAAAGGATGAAACACAAGTGGCCAGGATATGGCGAGAAGGAAACCCTTGCACACTGGTGATGGGGGTGTCCATGAGCATAGCCTGTGTGGAAAACGGCATGGAGGTGGCCTCGAAATTAGAAACAGAACTGCTGCTGTCTGATCCCGAATCCCACTCTGGGCCTGCATCCGAAAGAAAGGAGCTCTGTGCGGAAGAGGATCGGCGCCCTCCCGGCCCGCGGTCAGGGCAGCGCTGTTCCCCCAGCTCGGGCGGGGAGTCAGCCTGCGTGCCCATTCCCCGACGAGCGGGTAAAGCTGTGGTGGGCACACACAATGGGATACTCTTCAGCCACGGAAAGAAAGGAATTCCATTGTTCACGTCAGCACGGATGAACCAAGTGAAATGCCAGACGATTAGCATGAGCGGAGATGGCTGTTTTAATTAGGTCGATTTTTATCACCGCACAATGTATTCTGTGTGTATACTAAATCGCTACTTTGTACACTGTAATGTATACAATAAAACAAGCAAACAAATGTTTAAGCACAGCTTGGTGCAAGCTGTCAAACACGGAGGGGCTCGGGTTTTCAAGATCTGCCTCCTTGATTGTGTTGGGAGAGTTTCTCTTACAAAGGTGCCAGTCCCTGTCTCTCTTTCTCTCTCCCCCGGAATTAAGTCTGAGCCTACCCCCAGCTGGTGGAACTTCAGCATCTTCAGGGGGAACGCGACAAGGTTACTGCGCTCTTAGGGTCCTGGCTTCCACCCCGGATAGCCACGGCTGACCCCAAGTCTCCACACTGCTCTTAGCTCGTTTCATGTGGCCACTCACTTAGCCTTCGCAAGCACCTGTGAGGCCATGACTCTCATTATCCCCATTACACAGGGGAGGAGACTGAGGCACAGAGAGGTTAAGTAACCTGCCCAAGGTTATGACAGATAATATGTGGTTGAGCCGGGATTTAATCCTGGGCAATCTGGCTTCCGAATCCATGCTCTTAATTTCTTTACTGTGTAGACTCTCTGGTCTACAGGCAACCTTTGAAACCTTAGAAGTCAGCTCTGGACACAAGACCTACTGCGGGCTTGAAGATGTCACTGTAGGACTGAGAGCAGGAGACACGTTTGCTGGCCTCAGATGATGGCAACTGATGAGGTTAAGACCAGTGACTCAACACACCTGAGCCCCCAGGCGTGGTGGCCCCTGTGTCAGTCCCAGGAGTGAGCTGGGGCAGGCTCCTGCCAGCTCACGGCTCTGGTCCACTGTTAGAGCCTGGGGGTGTTGTATCCAGTGTAAGACCCAATAGCTTGCCATTGCCCGTGGTCAAGTATCCAGGGGGTGGAAATGCTACAAAGCCAGTGTCCCTGCTGGAGGGTCCAATCTTAGCTGAACTGGCTGGATGGGGTCACGGCAGGGGCACTGGACACTTTCAGCTGTTGCGGTCTGTTGAAGGTTCTCTTTGAAGGCGTGGGAAGAAGTACTTAGCCCAATGCCTGGCAGTTCAGATGTGTCAAGGAGTCAACACTTCCCAGCTCCCATCAATCCCCAGGCCTCTGAACCCACGGCCCTCTGGAGCCCCCCTCGTTGCAGGGGTCATTCCTTTTTTTTTTTTTTTTTTTTTGACAGGCAGAGT